TAATTATAGCACACATCCTGCTGGGCACAACAGTCATGCCAGATCAATGGAGAGCATATAATGCAATTGGCACCACTCCGGGATTGACTCATCAAACGGTCATTCATTCTGTTAAGTTTTTGGATCCAAACTCAGGTGACAATAGCCAATACCCAAAGCATCGAACTTTTGTGGAAATCTGCAAAAGAGAGAAACAAGCGCCACAACGGCACACACAGCCATATGCTCGATTTTTATATGTGTGAGTTCATGTGGCGTCAACATTAGGTACTCCAATACTGGACTACGTGGGCAAAAAAAAACCCGCCGGCTCTGCGTGGTACATTTCTGTGACCAGCCGTGAAGGGCGGGTTTCGGTATATGTCGGGTTTTTTCGTTCCTATGCGTCATTTTCTAAAAATAAATAAGTTTCAGTCTTAAACTTTATTTGCTGAAGAATTCCGGTCACAGTGGTATAAATGCTGAGTCATTCTGACCTGTTTCAGACGAACAGTTGGAGCGTAAACTTGGGTAAGTGTAAACATGTCGATGGGTTATTTTTTTTATAGCCAGTAAAAGGTTAAAACCTTTACATAATGCAAGCTTGATCACTGTTACTTCGAAATCATTTATTGTTAACGTTACTGGCTATTTCAGGAATTTAAAATATTGTTCGAAAAAAAAAAAAACGGCGGCTATCTTTTTTAACACAATTTTATTGACCGGAGGGAGGTGAAATTATTTGGAAATAAACGCTTGAAATAAAACATTTCTAAGTCATTGAAACATCTGATTAAACAAAAATTTTTTGATTCTAATATGAATAAACAATATAAATGTATTCAAGAAAATATTTAAAAATTTTTTTTTTTAGTTTGTACAATTATTCTATATTAAACAAGAAATTGATCAATTTGCAAATAAACTCCTCTTGAACAACAACAATGTATTTTTTAGCTATTAATAATTATTAGATAAACTAATACTACTAGTATTAGTTATAAGGGTGTATTTTTAGACTTATATTCATAGTTGAATTAAATTAATGAAATAAATACATTTTAATAGTACTAGGGAAATTTCTTTTATTTGTGTGATTTGATTGCAAACAATCTTTTTTTGTCAGTCCACCCTAGTTATTATTCTTTTACTTTTATTATTAGATAAACTAAGACTACACCTATATTCATACTACCTAATTAAATATATTTAACACTGGGGACATTCCTTTAATTTATTTTGTCTCAAAGTGATTTTTGTTTAAAAAACATTAAAAAAACAATTTATATTTGCAATGTCATTAGCTTATACTTGAGTCTGTCTTGAGCATTTTCCTTTGTTTTTACTATAGATTCCACATGGGACATGCATTGCAACCTGAAGGAGATCAATAAACAACCCAATTTGATGTTGACAATGATGTTGTTTTTAATCTACATATCGATGAGAATGAAGTGTTAAACTGTTGCTAGAACTCCGGAGCCACGAACCATGTCCACGATCTTTTGAGACAGTTATTGCTCTGTCTTTAGGATATGTTAAGACCACTGTTAAATTATTTTGTAAGTTGATATTATTTAACATAGATCATGAAGAAATAATATTGTCAATTTTAGTTTCTAATGTTCTTATGTGAGATTTTCATTTTGTTAATTTATATTTTGATTGAAATTATTTCAATTTTCAGTTCACTAATTTTAAAATTTAATTTTTAAATATTTTGTATACTTTCAGCTGGACAAGGATACCATCTGTGGACAAGGACGCTATCCATTACTGTGGATAGCTATATTGCATTGGATGTTTTTATGTTTGTATTTAAATGTACCAGCACAATAATGTGGATGAGAGATAGAGATTAATTTAATAACTTTTATAGATAAAATGTTTTTTAATTTTGTATAGCATGATTTAAATTGCTTTTGTAATACTTGAATATTCTGTTACATTTGGGTTGTCACTATCTATTTGCATTGAAAATTTCATTGCAATAGCTTTATTAGTTTAAAAGTTATTTATTTAAGTGTAAAAATGTCTCGGCCGCGGTCGCTTTTCATGAAATATTTTTTCTAACGTCCCATAAATTTTTCTGATCTGCATTTTATTTATTTTAAATTTACCTTACTTTTAGATGGACATTATCTATTTGTATTGAAAATTTCCTTGCAATAGCTTTATTAGTTTAAAATTTATCTATTTAAGTGTAAAAATGTCTCGGCCGCAGTTGCTTTTCATGAAATATTTTTTCTAATGTTGCATAAATTTTTGTGATCTGCATTTTTTTTATTTTAAATGTGCCTTACTTTAAGATGGACATTATCTGTTTGTATCGAAAATTTTATAGCAATAGCTTCATTGGTTTAGTAATTATGTCATTTTTTGTAAAATTAAATTTTTCGACTACTGACTACTGTCGTTATCCACGCCATGTGCAAATAAAATCAAATTTTTTCAATTATAATAAGTTAATTCACAATTCATGTGTTTTGTTTTGTTAAACATTGTATTGTAAATGTTTTGAGAGCTCTAACTTTAATAGCCAAAAAGATACATGCAAAATAGTACTAAAAGAGTAATAATGCGATCACAGTCTTAAAAATTAAATACAAAGCGGAATAGTGGGGAAAAATAAATCACTAAAAAATTAATAACTTTTCTCCTATAAGTGATAGAAAGATTATCTTGGTGTCATTGGAAAGCTTAAAGTCAGCTCTTTCCAATGATATGCTCTTTGTGTATGTCAGATGTATTTGAAAATTTGAGTTGGAGTGCCTATCAACATGTTAAAGTAAAATACAATAAATGGTTTTTATGTCTTCAACGCCATTCTAGATGATATTGTTCAATTTTGGCCACTACAGTAGCGGAGGACCGTTAAGTAAGTATGTTTTTATTCAAAATAACATTTGTTTTATTGGAAGACGTGTGAAGTGTTTTAATGGAAATGTGAAATAATGTATAATAATTTTTGAATTAAAAGTTTTTTAAGCTAATTCAGATTGATCAGGTTTAGGGATACATTTTAGGGTTCATGTTAGGTTTAGGGATACATTTAGGGTTCAGGTTAGATTTAGGGATACATTTACTAAATGATTTAGGACATAAGTTCGTGGGTCACGATAACCAAGATGGCGGCCGCGGGCTGATCTCTCCGAATTTTTTATTCAAAAGAACATTTGTTTTATGGGAAGTGTGAATAATAATGATTTTTGCGGTGAAATAAAATTGAAGTATCCACTTCTGATACCGGGTCCGAATAGCCGCAGCCAAACTTTTCATTACAATTACAGATAAGACAGTAGCCTATTTTTTCAGTGCCCGATTTGCCGCCAAAAAAGAAAAAAAAAAGCAACTTTGATCTTGAATCTTGATTGGTGTCATGTTAATGACTATATAACTATATTTAAAATAGAATTAAAAAATACAATAAAATCATTAACATAAACGTATTCTTACTTGCTTTAAGCTGTACGTAACATAGTTTTTCGTGTTTCTTAACGCCACATAAATTGCACACTTCTCGATTTATAATAATGGCAAACCAACAGGAAGTATCCGTCATAAGTCATAACCGTCACGTGACCAACCAAACATTAATAAAGACCTCACGTGACCAGTCGGGTCCGAATAGTTATTTAATGCTATAGGTTCACGGGCACCTATTAGCCACTCCGTAATTAGAAAGCTATGAGACGATTGGCCAGGTAGGAATGAGACACTGACTCATTAAACTTAAATTACAAAGACGAGTGGCGGTGGTAGTACTGGTAGCCACAGGCGTACCGAAGACAAATGCCTCTACTCTAGAGTACAAAAGGGAGACATTTTTACCCTATCTAATCTTCTATAAATAATTACATGTAGTTAAGAGTAGGCCTACATATTATATCTGTTCACTATTGGTAGGCTTACAATTACAAAGGCCCGTTTTAAAAATAAAATAACACACTAATATAATAATTATATATTAAAATATGTCGTAAAAGTAATTTTCTATTGAAGAGAAGATCTATGTGGAATTTATTCCACTTCCATCAACAGTAAGGCATACATGGACATTATGGACGAGGATGGCTAAGACTCAAGACAAAGTTTATGAAGAAGAAATTTTGTGATTCATCAACAAGACCAAGAAGTCTGTAAACTTTACATTAAAGGGGTCTACATAGAAAATGATAGGCAGAACAGCCCCATTCCCTTTTAAAATTTAATCACATACCCGTGTGCTCATATATTAGTGTCGTGATGGTTGATTTGAATAGTTTTTATAATTTCATGCATTTAATTTTGTAGTAAAAAAGATTTCTACTTACCTTTTATAAAGATAAGAATTTATTTGCAATATAACTGAATCATAAATTTAGTTTAAATACAATCAACATGTGTAATTTTTGTTGTTTTTGCCTTTACAAATAATAATTTTTCCAAATTTTTGTGCACATGCTTTTATCAACATACCTGGAATAAAATTATCCAGAATAAAAATTTATTTGTTCGTTGTGTTGGTTATTAGATTATGAATGTCTCCTGAAAATGTGGTGCAATTATATTTAAAAATAAAAATGTTGTGGGCAAAATTATGCAGAAATGTGAAATTTGGGTCACACGTTTTGGGGGTAAAATATATAGATTATATAAGGGGCATACAAAAATCGACTAAAAAAATCATAACTCCACTTCTATAAAAGATAGAAAGATGAAATTGGTGTTGTTATAAATCTTATAGCTAGCCCTTTAAAATGATGTATCATTCATTGGAATCAGACAATATTTAAATTTTGTGTCAAAGTACCTACAATATAGTAATAGTGGCAATATAATATTGGCCTAGGTAACTTAATTTTGCAGGCTATATAATTTTTTATATATTATTTCATCAACTAAAATCTCATTTTTTAAAATTTCAATGAGCTGAAAGCTTTTTCAAGCACTTTTACTTTTACTTCGTCAGAAACAATTTAGTATCTTTAAAATTTGGACACGTAAGAAACTGTTATTTACGGACAAATTTACGGCAATGTGTGTTCGTTACGGATAGTGTCAAGATGGCGGCCTCCTTGTGCCGAATGTTGAGTTGGAGGACATTTAAAAGTATTTTGTTTTCATCAAGTGTTTGAATTAAAACGAATTTATTTTTAAAGTCTGCTTGTCAAATGACTTTTTCAAATTATATTGTAGCATTTTTAATTCTTCGATAACTACCCGATATTGCGTAGTTCAAAAAGAAAATATGACAGGCGTCTCGCTAAGCCTAATTGGCCTAATCCTTGCTTGTACTAAAATTGTAAAAATACTGAAAATACTGTGAATTGTGGTGTTATATTATATATAACATGTGTTATACATAACTTAAATAAAGGGTAAATGCAAAGAATAGGTAGTCCAAACCAAAATTTATCTTTAAATGTAGACTGTTTAAGGACTCTCACTTGATAGAACTTTTAATACAAGAATTTTGATATCTGAATATCTTAGATACTTTGGTCAAAAATGTAAACATTTTTTTAAAAATAAACCAATGGCACAGTTGAATAGAGCTAATTTTAAACAGAATTATAACACCAAAATCATATTTTTAGCTGTTGTAGTTTTAAAGTTATGAATTTTTAAAGTACGACTTGGTTTGTCCTTTTTTAACATGGACTGCATCTCCACATTCTGTGACCTCATTCCGCCGATCGCGTCATGCGCAATGACTATATAGTTTATATAAGGCTAAGGCATTCCCTTATCACTAAAATACTGTTTAGGGTCGATTTATTTTAAACTTTCAACTTTGGCACATGAATAATTAATTAAAGCTTTCCCTGACCAATGGTTTAATAGTTTTTGCACACGGCAAACACTTATGAATGAAACTCTGAGATAGTACTACGACGTAGCCGTTATGCAAGTGGCTGTGAATGGTTGCCAATGACAACGTGTTGCACAGGGAAAATTCTGATCATTTATATTATGGACTCTGCAGGGTTTTTAAAGCTCAAATTAAAACATTTCCAGTTTAAATGTCTTCAAAATGCATTCTGAAACACAAAATATAAAATATTTTGATGTATATAGTGGTAATAATTAAATATTTCCTAAGTATCGGCAACTTCCGCCATTAAAAAGGGGGCGTGGCCCACGCCATGTCGAAATAAGGCGGAGCCCCCTTATGGTGATATGGGTCACTGGGAGAAGCGTAGCGAACGTGGGACACGACCTACATCAATGAGAATTGGCACAGATATATATCAATATCTGATGCCTTACACGATTTAATATGAAAGACCTGTATTTTATATTTCACAAAAAATTTTGCATGCGAAGATGCCTTATATATACCAAAGATTTCCAAAATAAAGGTCGATTGAAAAAGCAAAATAGTTGGATGGAAATGTAGGCCAAGATGTCTTCCAAATTATAAGGCCGGAAACGGAACTCAAATATATGTCCAAAGAACTAATTTAATAATAAATAGACACACACATCGGAAAATTAAAAACTCGGATTTTTCGGCGCCGACGCCCATTTCCGATACAAAAAAAGTAGTAGTCTCCCTTGTTTTATCGAAGTATCTAGAATATCTGGTTTATTTCAATAGCTCAATAAATAAAAAAAGTTATGATGAAGTTTTAAAATTTGATAAAAATCGATAAGAAATTGGCTATTTTTCATTTTGTCAAATCGTCCATTTTTGTGAAACCATAACTACTAAACTAATAATCCTAGAAGCTCCAAACTTGGTGTACTTGCTCAAAAGTTTACATATTTAAAATGAGTCATACATCAAATAAAAGATAATTTTAAGCAGCACAATATTCACTAGGCCTTAACAGCATCAAACAAATTTAAAGGCACCAAAATAAGTTTGAAAGTACCCACTGAATGATTTTTTTTACAAAATTAAGGTTTAAATTCTTTTTTAGAAAATACATGTTATCGCATAATTGTTATAAAATTAAAATCAAAGGAATATGATGTCAGATGTGTTTACTATTAACTAAAAGACTAATAAAAAAAATTTAATGCTGAGAACGGTGAAAAATATATGGCAACTAGGCAATCTTAGGCATGAATTTAAAATAAATTATCTGGGAAATCTCTGTACTGTAGTATCATTGTCTTTGCTTTCGGACTGTACTCCAAGGGCTAGCTTCCCTCTCCTACATTCTTGATAGTCACCAGTTACTAAATTTAATAATCAAATGAAAAAAGAAACTAGTAACTATTGTGTAGCATCAATATTGCAAAAATTATTTGTTAAAGTTAATTAGGACAATTTGAGATTCATAGTACTAGTAGTACTAGTAATACTATTGAGTCTAAGATGAAATAATATTGAAACAATTCTAAATCAGAAGTAAGTTTTATTTAATTTTAATAAATTATCAACAACCTCATTTTCAAGATAAGCTTACAAATTTGTATTCAATTATATTGTGTCATATAATGGTTTAGTCACTTGAAGCCTCCTACCCCAGATAATAACTTGCGTCAGTCCACCCACATCAGTCTCGCCGGCATCCATTTTTATTTTCTCGATCGTACAGAAACCCCCATTAAAATCAACAATAATCCCTTTTTTTAATCTTATATTTATTAAATACAATAACAGATCAAACATTATCATGTCTACAATATGTTTATCAAATTGTTTTATCGCTCGACTGTCCTCAATTAAATACATTTTGTCCGATCGACAACATGTCTCCCAGCCAAGTTCACAATCAGCACAATGGTTCGGATTCGTTAAAATATATCGAATATCTGACACAATCTATGCTTAACTCATTTCTAAACAATATTTTCAGTTACAAATACATTAAATGAAAGATTAATTCTTCAACTTACTTGTTGATTAAAGTCTCAAACATGACTAATAAGCTCCCGCCGTGATGCTGGTACTAGTCGCAAAACGCGCATCAAGCGGCTAGTGCTAGTGGTGTGGAACTAAAAAAGGGGGTGTTTTTGTAAACAACGCCGCTCCGCGCTTATCGTGCCCACTCATTTGATCTTATGATATTAAAATAGTAAAAAAACCTGAGCTTTCCAACGGTGTAAAGAAAGTACTAATATCTCTGTGTTTTCCCCCATTTTTGTTATACGAAAGTTTTCAACCAGCTTTTTCAAAATGAAATAAGCAAGGTAGATATACTTTCTATATATCAAACGAAAGCCCAAGATCCCCATTTTCCATTGGTGGTAAAATTAGGCTTCTCGGTTGATTACGCGCAGAGCGCCGCGCGATTGAATGACACGAATCCAAAAAAAATTTACGGACAAGTTTTGAAAGCACTGTTAAAATGACCCACCCCCACACTTTTCATAAATATAAAACATTCTCATAATGCATTTAAATAACATAAAAATTGCATATTTTGTTAGATAAAGAGTTAAACTTTAATCCAATATTAATTTTGTTTGTGTAGAATTAGTACAAGTGAGTCTAAAATGCATCTCCAAAACAATAAAAATAGGGGAAAAGGCCGATTTTCCCGCTTTGGACTACCTACAAAGAGAATGCGCCATAGCGGCCATAACGTATCACACTGGCGCCATCTTGGTTGCTAAAATTAGGAATAAAAATGTCCCTAAATCAAATGTATCCCTAACCCTAACCTAGGTTCTTGGATAAAATTTTCCAATTGAATAAATTAAAAAACGAACACATCTGTAAGATAGCCCTTGTTAAATGAAGTAATAATATGTTTTCATGTAGCACTTTTGGTTAAAATTAAAAAGTTATGATTTTTTTCGTGATTAAAGTGAATAATTTTTAACAGAGATTTGTGACCACTTTTTAAAAAAAAATGTATGAAAAGGCTCATAACTTTATAGAGGAGTGGACAAATAATATGAAACTTTCCAGAAGTGTTCAACATCTTTGTTGCTTTAAAAACTAAAAAAAAATTAAATAGAATATTTTTAAAATATTTTTTAATGTCATGAATTATATTGTAATAAAATTTAAAATATAAAATAAAAATAATTAAACCATTTAGTTATTCTAGTTTTATTACTTTAATTAACTTTCTATAAATTAACTATAAACAAAACAAAAAACAGAACTATACAAGTAATTGTAAGTTGCCAACAAAATTCACCAGTACGACATTTAATGCTGCTAATCCAGATGCATCAAAACTGATTTTTGTTAAAAAGCAGCAACAACCAGCAATCGCAGCAAAAATAGTTTTCTGGGTCTTCCACATGATAGTGGTGATTTCATCCCTTGTTGAGAATGACTGGTCTAGGCAAATGTTTTTGACACAAGTGCAGTAATTTGATATCCAAGGGATGGGAATTTTTTAAGGGTTTGTAAAGGACAGTTGTGAACAGCAATAATTTTTTTTTTATTGGAGAGGATGTAGAGGTGCGTGACGTTATATTTGAGGGAGTATTAACTTTTTGTGACAATGAGGGAGTGGGGGAGTTGAAAAAATCTGCAAAATTTGCATGACATCATTTATGGATGGCTCGATAGGCTTATATTATACTCATTTTATTTTAGATCATAAATGGATGACACCTTGTTGTTCGGAAATTTTGGCCACCTACAATGTGAAATCATTTGGCTCTGCTGTAAACATCCAAAGATGTCAAAGTTCTGGGTTAAACACTCAGCAAGGTATTACTTCATTTTTTTCGATGAAATAAGCTTAGTAAGTACCGGTACGTAAATAATTGAATGAAAATGTAGACCTAGAACACTTCAGTTCAAACGTGGCAAAAAGTCATGCAAAATAAATGAAATCACTTAGCTATTTTTACCTTTTTCATAAAGGGTTATTATTATTCGCAAGCTACAATTTCTGTCTTCATGACATTTTTTAAAAAGATTTCTCTAAAAAAATGCAGCCCTTTCCAGCTTTATTAAAAAATCTAATATTTGGTAAGCTATCATTAATATATTTAAAATAAATGTGAAGTCCAGTTCCAATTTTTTAATTTCATTTCATTATTTGCTACAATGAAGTTATATATTTATTACTTTTGTCTTATTACTTCAGCAGTCTCACCTTCTGAGGTATACACCAAGGCTAGCGAAAATCTCTCAACCTTTGAAGCAGCCATTCAGCACGAGGACTATTTTGGGTTGAAAAATCTTGTTACACTCCAAGACTTGTTTCAAGTGAGTAAAAATGTATCGTGAATGCTATGACACAATCCCATTCATCTGCTGTTGTCTAGCCCCATTATAATTAATTATATAGAACGTATGTTTTTTTTTTTTCCTTACTTTTATTTTACTACATTTTCAGGCCAGGGTTCACCTGGGTCACAATGTGGGCTTGCGTCATGAGTCCATGTCTCCATACATATATGGAACACGCCAAGGTGTCGACATAATTGACCTTGAGCAGACGCTGCCACTGCTGCATGATGCACTCAACTTTTGCGCACACATCGTGTACCGAGGTGGCATGATACTGTTCCTGTGTAGAAACATGCAGTTTTTACCCAAGGTGGAACAGACTGCAAGGGAAGTGAAGGAATATTCACATTGTCGGCCTTGGCTGAGAGGTATGAGGAGAACAATTTTTTTTTAAAAATTCAGCACCGTCTTGAGCTATTCACTTTCTTAAGCTCTTGCCAACAGTTTACCTACAATAATGAACTGCCTTGGGTCTTTTAATAAACATCAGATAAATCCTCAAAGGGAAGTAATAATGTTAACTCCCGTATCAGACTGAGTATTGCTTCTTGATGTTTGTAACTTAAATATAATTGATATATTATATGATTGAAGAATAAAAATATATATATTTTTTTTTAAAAGGTACCCACCGTAGTGCACTAAAATGTATTTTATACTTTTAAATTGCAACAAAATTTGGTTAGGAGCATGAAAATTAATTGCTGGTTTAACTTGGCAGCTTAATGGGCAGCTGAGTAGGATTGTCACTTTTCATTGAGATTAATATTGAAATCTTAATACACCTTCATAGATGCAATGGATGAACACTCCCACTTTCATAAGTCACACATTTTTAAGAATACCAGTACAAATGATAAAATAGAATAACTTTTTCCTATTATTAAGTGAGTTATTAGATGGAAACCTGAAATGGCAGACTTAACACAAGGATTCCCAGGTGCCGCAAAATATGCTTATGACTTTATAAACATGTATCATGTATACCTAGAACTGAAAGAGGGATCAGTAATACTTCAGTGTCTCAAACTAAGATCCAATAATGAGACCCATTTACTGTTGTGATTTTGACATACAATGTACGATTTTGAGATTTTTTTAACAACTTTACCCTGAGACCTGTTATAACTTCTATTTTAAGGAGACGAAGTTGAAAATATATATTCCTGTTGTTTCTTTTTTACAATTAAAAAAAAATTTTTTTGGGTTGCTAGTTTTACTCCTTTCTATAACTATATCCAGCGGTGAATGGGCAGAGAAATAAGATTTTTGTTGGACCATCCATAATAATATTACGTACTGGTACGTAATAGGGGAGGGGGGGGGGTGGAGAATTCCCATAGATTTAGCAGCGTTCGGGTGCGCATGGAGAAAGGGGAGAGGGGGAATGTGATAGAATATTTTTCAAAGCTTTAAAATAACACCACCTTGTCCTGTATTGATCGTCATTGTTGTTGTGTGTTTTCACCATGAACTTACTTAATATGACCACAGTAATATTAATGTAGTTCCCCAGGAGACGCATGTGGTCAACTTTACCTTTTGTTTGCTTTGGTGCTGTTTGGCATAATCTTTTGACAAAATTGTTTCATTCTTCGGCTGAACTTTGAGTAAACTATGAATTAAGACAAAAGAAATAATGTCAGCCGGAAACAGGACAAACTTCACTAGTCAGAAAATACTCGAAAGGTAAAAACATTACAAGAGAATCAAAGAAATCTATTTATAAAACTGTGATCAGACCAGTTGTAACATATGCAAGTGAAACTTGGATCCTAACAAAAACAGCAGAAAACCTATTAAACACATGGGAGAGAAAAGTTCTCAGGAAAATATATGGACCAACAAAGGATGAATATGGATGTAGAATACGAACAACCATGAATTGTACAGTCTATATCAGGATCCCATGCTAGTCGCAGAAATAAAAAGGGCAGGCTAAGCTGGGCTGGACACTTAGAAAGAATGTCAAATGACAGGAGTGAAGAGGGTGCACCACCAAAACCCTAGAGGAAAACGGCTCAAAGGCAGACCTAGGCTTAGATGGATGGATCTACAACAGCATGGAAAAGAACAGGATTAGTTAGGTCTGAGTGGAAGGAAGAAGTGAGGCAGGCCAAAGTCCAACATGGGCTATTGTGCCACAGGGATGGATGGATGGATGAAGATCCGTACCCGTAGTTTAAAATAGAAAGAAAAAAAAGATTTTAAAAATATCTTGCAGCCTGTGAACTCTGTGTTACTGAGGTTGGGCTATTTTAATTGATTTGGGATTATATTGTATGAGAAGATATATATCTTTATACTCTTTTTTTTTTTCCTCATAATTTGAAGAAAAAAAAATGATGTACAGATGAATATAGGAAATTTTGGGAGCCATGCTAAAACCACTTTATATCTGGGGGGTCATTATTGCAGGGGTCCACTGTATTTCAGTCTCAACTTTGTGTTTCTTTTCTGTCAGGTACCTTCACAAATTCAGCAAACATGTTCAACAGCTTACCCATTTACCCAGAGCTTTGCATATTCCTCAACACACAAGACACAGTGTTTGAAACACACAGGGGTGTCGTAGAAGCATCCAAGCTGCTTGTGCCAACAATAGGCATCGTGGACACCAACGTCGACTGCGCCAACTTGATAGCGTACCCGATTCCCGGTAACGACGACAGCCCCGCATCGCTCCAGCTGTTCCTGGACCTTTTCAAAACGGCAATCATCAGAGCGAAGGAGAAAAGGAAAGAGGATGGAATTGATGAAACTGCTTCTTAGAAAAGATGAACTGCTACATGTAAAACGTGTGTATGGCTGTGTTGGATGTGTTCCCCGTTTTGAGGAATCAAACCTCTTTCCATCAGTGACATTCTTGGATTAAATGAATGAGTTTTTGTAACGTTTGGGAAGGCTGCATGAACTTGGAGTTCATTGACAGGATAGGTTATGTTACATTCATGCTTTGTTCGACTTGTTTCTGTAGAATTAATCAATTTCTCAATGGTTATATACACTATGTACACACACACACAAAATAAACTAAACTTCATCTGTTTTAGCTGTTAATACTGTACGTTTTGATTTATGTAGTTGGTACACTTGGAATGCTGAAAAAAGGGTGGTGACTGTTTGTGTATGAATTGGGAGAATGGTTGAAATTATTGTTAATTTAGATGCAAGCCCTTTACAATTCATTTGTTTTAGTCTTTTGTAATAAAAGATTTATAAATAATTTATATTTTTTTTTATTTATTTTTATTTTTTGTGAGTTTTTTTTCAAAATGAATAGCTTTCTCTGCCTTGGTTTATCAGAATAAAATCTTAATGAATATAGAGAACTATCACTCAAGAACATTTAGATTGAATAAAATTGTTTACTTTATGTTGAAAAAAAAAAAAAAAGTAAAAACTGATTTGATATTAGTCTGTGAAAAGAATTTGCTTTTGTTTTCTAGGGTTTCTTACTAAACACTGCTATCTACACAGCTAACACACTGCTCACTATATAAATTTTGATTCATATATAATCAAAACATATTAGCTAGTAACACAATATATATGGTACAGCATAATCATATTCCAATAGAAGTTATTAGAAGCCTTTATACAGCAGCCGGGTGGCAATGTCCAAATGCACAAAAATTTGAACAGTAAGCAAATAATATAAATATGTAGTAAATCCTACCAATATCATCTCTTAGACTTTAGAGTGAATCAACATATGACATTGTAAAACAATCCAGGATTATGTAAAAAAGGCCCTTCATTTAGACTCAAATCAAAATTTGAAAATGAACAGCACAAGAGATGTAAATATAAGGACCACCCTCATCATTTTAATTCTATTTTTTCCAAGATATGAGAACACACTAAAAAAAAAATGTGATAATCATATCATGACCATGAACTATTCTAATCAACCTTTTAAGAGAGTACACACAACTATTATTTATTGAACATCTGTGTCTGTTGTGATACCATATATTTAATTTAATTTAATTTGAACAAAGGCTTACAGAAAATCAACATTGATAGGATTACATTGATTTGACACCATATATTTAATTTAATTTAATTTGAACAAAGGCTTACAGAAAACCTACATTGATAGGATTACATTGATTTGACACCATATATTTAATTTAATTTGAACAAAGGCTTACAGAAAACCTACATTGATAGGATTACATTGATTTGACACCATATATTTAATTTAATTTAATTTGAACAAAGGCTTACAGAAAACCTACATTGATAGGATTACATTGATTTGACACCATATATTTAATTTAATTTAATTTGAACAAAGGACAAAGGCTTACAGAAAACCTACATTGATAGGATTACATTGATTTGACACCACAAACACAGAAAAATTAGAAAACAAAACTATGTGTATACCCGGTACACATATTTATGACAAAGCAAAGTCCTGAAGGTCATGATTAACTTTGTCTGCAGAAAAACTAAAATATGTGTATTGTATTCCTTTATACCATATCGTACCAAATATTTAACATTACTAATGATCACCCATAATCAAAAGTAATACGGTACTTAAAGCTTTAAAATTAAATTTAATTGATTTATGGATGGTTAGCATTATCAAGTATTGTAAATAATTGTGTTAATATTTAAAATATCTACATTAACAAAACAAAAAAAAAGCTATATTTTCTGTCACAAAATTAAATTCATTTTAAATTGTAGTTCACAACCTGGTATGAATCTACTAATGTTATGTAGAATTTAAGAAAAGAAAAAAAGTGCCATGGAAATTAAAATATATTTATTACGGTACTTTTCAAAGTAGAATTTAACTTCAGCCCAAAATTGCTTAGAACAATAAATCTATTCAGCGGTGAGGCTCTCAGTGCTCTGAATAAGTTGTATGATTGCTATCACTAAAACAAACCAATTAATTTGTAATTTTATGGATGTCATCTAGTAATTATGCTGCTGGTCTCCTTTTTTTTTTTTTTTTGTGCTTTTTTTTTTTTTAAATTAATGACCAGTATTCCAATATTGCACATTTAAACACATAATCAAAAGTTTATTTAAACACAATTCGGTTTAAATCTTAATTAGATGAATAAATTTTTTTTTTTTTTGGATGTCCTCTAGTAATTTTGCTGCTGGTCTCCTTTTTTTTTTTTTTTTGTGCTTTTTTATTTTTTAAATTAATGACCAGTATTCCAATATTGCACATTTAAACACATAATCAAAAGTTTATTTAAACACAATTCGGTTTAAATCTTAATTAGATGAATAAATGCTCCTAGTGCGGCAGGCCAATCTTTGACGAAAGCAAACCTGTTTCAGAGTGCAAAGCAGGAAACCAGTTCAAGTCAATTAGCGTGACTGAGGCAATTAAAACTTTGATTAATGTGCAAATAGTTCCTGGGTAAAGTTTGGCCAAACATCGTTAAAGAAATGCTCATTAGCCAGAACCTGAAGGAATATGTGGGACAGACACAGATCAATAGAGACAATATCTATTATAAAAGTTAAAATACTGTGTGATCTTTAGCAGGGAGAACCCAAAATGGTTGGTCAATTTTTGTTTTGAAATTTATTTCAGATCTTTAAAAAGGATAGCTTTAAAAACAATTTTTTAAAAATATTTTAATGGTAAATTTTAATGAATATTAAAGCTGGCGAATCTCTATAAAATTGTAATGAAAAGGTGTGGTTCCCCAACTATCAAAGTTTAAGAACCTCTACTTTAGTGTTATAATTTGTAAAAAAAAAAAAAAAAAAAAATAAATATTTCTTATTTTTTTTAAAATTGTAAAGAAAAGGTTTGGTTCCCCAAATATAAAAATTTAAAAACCTTTATTTTATTGTTATAATTTTTAAAAAAAAAAAAAAAAAAAAATGCAGTAGGCCTACATCTTTTCTACTATAATTAGTTAATGATTTTACAATTATGTTTATAGAATATCTAGAGCAAGTACATTTTGTGGGGAATGAGACTTAAAAAAAAACAAAACATTAACTTGTACTTTAGTTGCTTAAATTAACTAGATATTTCTTCCAATCCTTTCATTTGACATTCCTTGTTCTGTTCAAGTTCCTAGAAAGGTATAAAAATCACAGATTAGTATTTATTTTAACTTACAAAAAAGTATTTTATCCAAAATTTGTTTAAATGGAATAATTTATTTTCACAATAAGAAGTGTTTAAGTTTTTGTTTTAAAATGGGACAGAATACAACAGCGTCGGTCACACCATACGTTGTTCCAATTCTCTCCCTTGACGAAGTGGTTTTCGCCCTTTATATCTTGTACATCATCTCCTCGGCCTGCATTGTCTTGGGAATAGTTTCCAACATCGTCAGCATCTGCGTCTTCTTCAAGATGGGCGTCCAGGATTCAGTGACCCTCTCGTTCTTCTTTCTCTCCATCTCCGACTTCGCCTACCTGTCCATTACAACGGTCTGTGCCGTCTGCGCCATAATTGGGTACGGACCCGATGGCCTGAAAATCTACCCACTCAACGTTAAGGACTTCACCTACTGGATCGCCGTCATCTTCTACAACGTCGCCATGTTTCTGCGCGTGTTTATCGCCGTCGGGAGATGCTGCCTCGTCGCACTGCCATTGCATTTCAAGAACATGTTCACCAAGAGACGGACACTGTTGGTGGTCTACTTGATCACACTATCGGTGGTCGCCATGCGGGTCCCGATGCTGACGACCCAAATCTGGGTGGGGGTCCCCGATCCTAGGACCAACTCGACGAATATCGCACTGAGAAGAACCGATGGCTACACGGTGATACTGACGGTCCAGGATATTTTGAACCGCAACGTCATAACCTGGTTGTGTTTTTTAACCGTCCTTCTCAGTTTCCTCATCCTGGCGACGGCGCTCCGCAAGGCAGCCCGCTTCAGGCACTCCGCGAAGAGCACAGGCGTCGGCGGTGAGAACGGGGCGACCCCGATGTCCGGCAAGGAGCTTCGCATCGTGCAGTCCGTGACGCTCATCTCGGCGGCGTTCGTGGTTCTGGCCGTGCCGTTTGTCTGCTACTCACTGTGGCGCGCGTTTCTGCCGTCGGTGGGCCTCGACCCTCGCTACGGGTATCTGTTCAGCTTGATCCAGGACATCAGCCAGTTCTGCGGTTATCTCAACGCGGGCACCAACGGCGTCATCTTCTACCACACGAACACGAAGTTCAGGCAGACACTCGCCGAGTTAGTGTCTGCATCGCTCGATAGGAAAAAATAAAATGCGAATATATAGTTTCATCATAGCTAGAACAAGCTTTATAGTTTCTTCATAGCTATAAATTCAACAAGTCTTCATCCGCGAACTGGGCAATACAAATACAAGCAAAGTATAACAAAATCAGAAATTAGTTTAGAAAAATACATGCTTGCAAAGAAGACAAAAATACAATCATTAGATCTTAAGCAACGCGGTTAATCAAAGAATTACATGGAGTAGGAGTTCATTTCTCAAACTATTGGGTGAGAGAAAGAGAGGGAGAAAATTATATCTATTATGTTAGATCTGTAAGACAAAAAAAAAAAATTTTAAGGGGGGGGGGGGGGGGGGATAAAATTATTGAACCCTTTTAACTCCAGTCCAGTGGCGTCGTTTGGGTTAGTGCACCCAGGGCGGGACAAGATTTTTTGTGGCCCCGCTTCAAAGAAAACAAAAATACAGTTTCTTGAAAATGACGTTGCTGCAAATAAGGTAAAGGAAAAAAAAAAGATGCCTAGGGCTGACTACCCCCCCCCTCTGCACCCCTTGCTACGCCACTGCTGGATCTGAGGAGCTCTAAAACCGTATGTATTCAAGAAGCCAATCTGTATACATATAAATATCTGCGTCTCAGTATTTGAACACCAGGCGTTACATTTCCACTGATTTTCGAATGAGAGCCACGTGCTCTGATACACTTAAGTGACATAAGGTTTAAAGCTGAGAAAAGTGCTCCCAAGAACCACGAAGCTCCCAAAGCTGGATGATATGCAATATATGAAAAACAAAAAGAACATTACAGTAAGTGTCATGACTCTCCATCATACAACATTAAAATCAGTGTCCTGTCTGTGTATCATAGAACATTACAGTAAATGTCTTCTCTCTCTTGCATAGAATATTGTATTAAGTGTCTTTTTCTCTCTATCATACAACATTGTATCAAGTGTCTTGTCTCTCTATCATCCTTTGCTACATCCATCATGACGGAGGACTCGTCGAGTGCATCGCCTAACGTTTATTTTCATTTATTCAAACGCTATTTGTCTCCACTCTCTTTGTATTCCATTTAAGACCGTTACCTTCAATTCACTGACCGCAAGGCAGGCGCCAGGGGTCCGATCCTCGTCACCGCGAGGTCCGCACATCTAACCCCAGACCACGCGGCCTACACTCGTTCACAGCAAGTGCTCAGCCTCCACTAATCGAGTGGCCCTCGCCCAACACCCCGTACAATGCCTCTCACCAATTAAACCGCATGACCGTCAACCTAACCCCCCCCCCCCAAACCATCAAGCGGCCGTGGTTTCGTGGAATTTTGGTTCTCGCCAATTCAGCGAATGGATTTAAAAGATAAAAAGAAGGATTTATCACAAGAGCTGCTGCAAGGTCGGGAAGGGTGTATTAAATCCGGGAAAGTTAGATCAGATGGCATAACAATAGTTCTATGGTTGGGGGGGGGGGGGCTAAGTGTCACTTGTGTGGCGTTGTCAGATTTGCAGAGTATTGGGCCCTATTTGTTATTGGAATGCCTGTAACATGTTCGGATCACTTCGTAGAAGTGAGGAGCTTTGCAACAAGCTTTCTGTTCGTCTTTCGTTTCTTTCATGGATCCGAATAATCCCACTTTGATTATAATTGATGGTGGATAACAGCAGCAGCGGGATTAATCCGGTACGGTACAATCTTATTGGTCAAGGTGGGGAAAATGGTTGTTAAATGAGACTTCTCAGTCTTTAGTTGACGTCCATCTTCGAAACTCTGAATGCTCAGCGTCAAAATATGCCCTTAGGTAGGCGGAGGAATTGAGTTGGCGTAGCAAGAAGCAGTGCGAATATATAGATATAGAATTGAAAGTTTTACTGTCTCTTCGTTATTATATCAGAAGCGCTTCTCAAATTTTCAAGTTTGACCGGATCGGTGGACACTTTTCCATAGAACAAAGGACCGTTGCCAGATTTATTAATTTTCTTTCTATTTATTTGACCTTGAATTTTTCATACTTTTTTTTTTTAAAAATCGTCATTAGCAAAGCCATCATGACTCGATTAATTGTTCTCTTTTAATATTAGCTTTATTCGTTTTTATTGATTATGGAAGTTTGTTTGTTTCTTATGGATGTTTTAAGTTTTAAAAAAAACAACAGAACAACCCCAACAGCAGTTTATTTTACACATAATCGTCCGATGATTTGTGTGGACCTGCGACGTTTGGCTCACGGCTGCTGGTCACGCTCCTTGGACCACAAGTTTAAAAAAAAAAAAAAAAAAAAAAAAAAAAAAAAAAAAAAAAAACAAAAAAAAAAAAAAAAAAAAAA